AGCTGGGGGATCGGGGTGTACCGGTGCCGGCACACAGGAAAAGCTCAGGAAGCACTAGCTCTCGCTGTCCACTGGTGGCTCTCGCAAGGGATACCGCGGTGTCCTGAGGCTGACCTCCTGCAGGGCTCAGCCCACCAGTCTGGCCCCCCAAAAGTGGCCAGGCTGCTCTTTCCAAGATGCAAGTCTATCCATGGCACAGACCTCCCACTGCAGCTGGATCAGGGCCCAATTCCCCGCCGTGGGCTGCTGGGCCTGCCTTCCTCACGGCCTTATCTTGGACTCCTTTCCTGCCTTCTCTGGGCTCCAGTCCTTTGAGCTCTCCAATGGGCCAGGATCCCGTCCTCCGTCCACACTACTCCCTGTTCCCTCCTCTGGGCTCCCTAAAATCTCAGCTGTGGTTACAATTCTCTTTGCACACGTCTCCTTGGCCTGCTTCTCTCTCTCTCTCCCTCCGTTTTAGGTAGCAGGAGTGCATGTTGAGGTCTGATTGCCAGGTACTGTATTAATCCCCTTTTATGCATGTAGGGACCAAGGCTCAGAGAGGCTGAGAACCTTGTGGAAGGTCACCAGCCATCAGGAGGTCGAGCTGGGATTCAAACCATGACTAATGGAGCTGGTGCAACAGCCTGAAGCACACCTGCAGGCCATCGCGTCCTCCCTGGCTACCTCAGGATGCTCACCTGGCCAGCCTCAGCTCCCTACCCTGTGCTCCAGCTAGGTGGTGCCCACCCCCTGCTTCTGCACTGGGTCACAGGCTCTTCCGCTTCCCACCACGAAGGCTTCTCTCCTAGAACCTGTCTGTGTCCCTGTCTGTCTCCTCCCTCCACGTGCACTCCCCGAGGACAGGAACTGCGTGTTTTATTTCTACGCTCCTGCTCCTGGTCCTGCTTCTGCTGCTGCTCCTGGCGCACACTGGGTGCTCGTGAAATGGTGAACGAGTGACTACTTGGTCAATACACTGGGAACAACAGTGTTAGTTCTCGTGGGTCATTCAGCAAAAATGTTTTGTCCATTTCTGTCCAATGGGCCAGGTGAGGAAACCAAGGCAAGCACAGCTTAAGTCACTTGTCCCGTGTTCATCACCACCCCATAGCCCCTTTCCAATTAGACCAGGCTTGACCGGCCTGACTCCCGGGAAATGACCCATCTCTTCCAAACCCTCTACCTTTCTGGAAAACGTTAATTAATTTATTCCACAATTAAATGCCTACTTTGTGTGAATGACTGTTTGGTTGAATAAGTGCTTCCCTCTCACGCTCCAGCCATGATCCCGTAAGAAGCTGTTGTCATCATCCAGATGGGAGACCAGGGGTCATAGCAAAACTGCAAGATCATCAGAGACATCCCAGAGGCCCCTTGTCATGTGAAACCCAGCAGAGCCCTGCGATCTGGGTCAGTGCCCCTTGCTGGGGTCTCCAGTCTACAGAGTCACCACGGATACACGCGGGTGCCAGCCGCCTGCCGCACTGCCCTGGCTTCGCCCCCTCCACACATTGCCCTGGAGGCACTGGAAGCAGGAGGGGCCTTGTGAGTCTATAAGTAAAGAGAAAACCCTGAAGAACAAGGAGCGTCTGGGGGAACTGATTGAAGGGCACCGCCCCCCCCCAAAGACCGCTCTCCTTTCCTCCTAAAAATAATATTCTATAGAACAGCAGGGTCAGGAGGGATATGAAAGGTCACCTGGTCTTCCAGCTGGAAATGTCACCATTTAGATTTATCTGGGTCACAACATTATTTGTTTAAAGAGCAAAGTAGGGCAGCATGGGGGAGTGGAAAGAACACGGTTCGGAGTCAGACAGACTTGGGTTCCACTGAGAGCTCCTGTGCTGCCCAGCTCGGTGTCCCGGAGGAAGTACCGAACCTCGCTGGGTCTTGGTTTTCTCGTCTATAAAATCAGATAGGGGCTCAGGCCAGGGCGGTGGCCGCGGCGAAGGCAGTGGTCAGATCCTGGGAGTATTTGGAGACTGAGCCACCAGGAGAGCAGGACCTGATCTCTCTGTTCTCTGCAACGCCTGTGACAGTGGCTGCACATTAGAGACCCTCAACCATGATTTCTTGCATCAGTGAATGGAGGAGCTACTACTCCTTAAGTGCTAGATACCTTTTTTGTTGTTGTTATTAATTCTCACCCAGGATATGTTTTCCATTGATTTTTAGAGAGAGTGGAAGGGAGGGAGGGGGAGAGAGAGAAATATTGATGGGATTGGTTGCCTCTGGCACGCACGCACCCCGACCAGGGCCAGGGGTCAACCTGCAACCCAGGTACTCAAGGGAATCGAACCCACAACCCTTTGGTGCGAGGGCCGATGCTCTACCCACTGAGCCAAACTAGCTGGGGATTTTAATCCTCACAGCAGTCCCAGGCTGGGAGAGATTAGGAAATGTGCCAGAGGGCAGCTGTCCTTAAATGGTCGCTGGAATGGGGAGCCGCTGGGCCTGGCTCCAAAGCCCAGCGTTCCTTGGCTTCACTGGAAGCCGAGCGGAGACGGGCACCCAGGGAGGCACTGGGGGAGGGGTTTGCAGATTCCAGAAGACAGGCTCCTGCCCTCAAAGCTGGTGAGAGGCAGAGAAGCCAGTGGGTACTTTAAAAAGGAGCGCCTGGCAAATAGCAGGCGCCAATGAACAAGTTTGGTCGCTGACCAGCTTGAGAACCCTCACCGTGTGCACACATGTCTGTGGGCCCAAAGGAGGTGCCCGAGAGTGTTGGGTGAGGGGCAAGGCAGAGGCTGGAAAGACTTGCGGGGGGACATCTGAGGTGGACCTTGAAGGGTAGGAGTTTGCCGGGAGCCGAGGGGCCTGGGAAGCTGGAACAGCGCGAATGAATGAAAAGATTGGAAATCGGCCTGAGAAAACGGGCTTTGAAAGCTATGATCGGGTGCATTACGTTAGCATTCCCGCGGGTACCCCCACGGTCCCGGCCCAGACGGCGCTACGGTCTGGCCTGCCCCGCTGGCTGGCAGCCGGCTGGGGGCCCCTTCTCCTGGTTCCAGTTTAGCATCCCCGGCAGCGCGACCCTCC